TTTTGCTATCTTTCATTACATTTTGAAGTGAAAACCCCTTTTTAATATAGTGTCATGCATGTAATAGCATATTTGGTTATTCTGTTTAGTGTCTGATTTTTTTTTGTCAAATCATAATTTCATCTTAGATTTATGCATTTTTTTTGTGAAGTTTGTTGGGTCTCGTTTTTGTTAGTGGTCACTAGTGTATTTCTGAATATTAAAGGCTATTGTGGGAACGAAAAAAAAATCTTGGAAGTTTTTTTAAAAAATCTATCTTTTTGTATGGTTTGCTTATGGAGTTATGTAAATGTGCAACTTTTGACAACCAATATTCATTGATAACACTATTTTTTTGTTACTTTGCATGTATGATAAGAATATGGCTTCAAGCCTAGTTAACCTACAAATCCACTATAGTGGTAATTTTGTATCAGACCCTGAGCTAAGGTATGCTAATGGACAAACTGATCCGCATTTAGCTACAGTTGATGTTGATGAACTGCATATTATGTTGTTTCACAAGTTTACTAGGGACTTAGGGTTTTTAGAAGTTGATTTGTTTGGATGCAAAGTTAACAAAAGAGGTGGCTATTACATTTTAAAATCAGATGCTGATGTGTTAAAGTTTCTTAATACATTGAAAGGTGGTAACTTTGTTGCTGTTTGTATTGTCCATGTAATTAGTAATCCTATTCTTATTGAGGACATAACTAAACTGGATCCCACTTCACAAACATATGGGCATGAAAGTGGGCTAAATGCTAGGGCTAATGTGTCACCCCTACTGATGCTATAAATAGGACTGATAATGACAAAGATAAGGGTAAGGGGACATGTATCAATGGAGAGATAGAAGAATCAGATGAAGGTGAAGGTAATAACTTCTCATCCTATCATCTTCAAACATCAGAATCTGATATTGATGAGAACTTTGAAAATTCTGAAGAGTCTGATTCACTATTTGATGTAGATGAGAACATTCAAGATTGTAATGATCTGGAAGATGACCTAGATGAAATTAGACAGTCTAAAATCAACCAAAAAAAGAATGCCCAAGTAAATATAGATGAGATACCATCTAGTCCTATTGGTATAGGTTCTGGTTTTGAAGATATGCATAAGAACAAAAGGGGAAAATATGAAGGAAAACTAGGAGGGGATGACCAGTATTTTGACAGCTCGAATCCAAGTAGTGAGTATAGTGATGATGAAAGAGAACCTGTTGGTCCTGATGAAGTAAGGGATGCACTAGCTAGGAATCCAAGTAAAAAGGTCTACTTTGACACAAGTTGCAAAAAAATATTATTTGAACTGTATATGATATTTGAGAATGTTGTACAGTTTAGGAAGGCATTGGAGACGCATTCTATTCAAAAAGGTGTGAACCTTAAGTTGAAACCTAATGAGAGAGAAAAGGTTAGGGCAAAGTGTACAAAGAAATGTTGTCCATGGCATATTCTTGACAGCATAGAAGGTAGCACCAGAAATTTTAGGGTGATTACATACTATCATATCCACAAATACTATAAGAAGACAACGAACAAGATGTGTAACCCATCATGGATTGCAGAAAACTTCAAAGGCAGAATAATTAGTGAGCCTCAAGTTAAGCTTCCTCAAATTCAAGCCTTAATCAGAAAAGCATACCGTCTGTATGTGAATAAAACTTCCTACAGAAGGGCAAAAATGATAGTTATGAATGAGAATATAGGTGATTACAAGAAAGAATTTGCTAAGCTCCATGATTATGCTGAAATGGTAATGTCTACTAATCTTGGCATTACTGTAGTGACAAGGACATCCAAGAACGTAGAGCCTGCAAAGAGGTGTTTAGGGGCGTTTATATCTGTCTTGAAGCATTAAAAACTGGATGGTTAGAAGGGTGCAGAAACATAATTGTCTTTGATGGTGCATTCCTAAAAGGAATATGTAAAAGTGAACTGCTTTCCTGCATTTTCAAAGATGGAAATAATCAAATATACCCTGTGGCTTGGGCAATAGTTAAAAAGGAATCTAAGGATATATGGTCTTGGTTTATCAGATGTCTCAAGCATGATCTAAAACTGATAGAAATTGAAGGAGAAGAACTGACAATCATGTCTGATATGCAGAAGGTATGGTTTTTAACACTTTGTCTTTAAAGTGTAATTGTTTTCATTTATGTTTGAGTTATAACCCTATAATGTTGTTGATTGTAGGGTCTTCATCTAGCAGTAACTCAATTATTGCCAAACACTGAGATGAGGTGGTGTGCTAGACATATCTGGACTAATTGAAAGCAAACTTGGCCTGGTGAGGAAAGAAGGAAAAAATGGCAGTGTGCAAGAGCTACATTTGAATTTTACTTCAGCAAGAAGTTGGATGAAATGGATTTTCTGCGGGAGATATTGTTCAAGACTTATTGAAATACAACAAGGAGACATGGTATATGGTATACTTTAAAAAGCATCGTAAGTGTGATGTAGTGTAGAACAACATGTGTGAAGCATTCAATAGTCGGATTTTGGTAGCTAGGCACAAATTTATCATTCTTATGTTAGAGGAAATTAGAATCAAGAGAGGATAAATAAAGTAAGAGAGTTTTCTGAAAAATAGGTAGGTGATATATCACACATGGCTATGGAAGTACTTGGAGAGAATGCTCAAAGGGCAGCCAAATTTGAAGTAAAATTTAATAGTGAAACAGGATATGAGATCCAGGATGGGCCATATAAACATGTTGTTGACTTTAGAGGTGCTTCTGTACTTGTAGGTCATAGAAACTCAAAGGAATTCTATGTGCACATGCAATTACTGCAATTCATTATAAGAACTATGAGGTTGAGCCATATTGTTGACCATTGGTATAGGAAAGACATTGACCTTAAGGCATACACAGATTTATTTAACCTTTAACTAGTATGAATTTGGGCCAAAAAGCACACTACTAGCTATTGAGCTACATGTTATAACTGCAATGCCAGGAAGGCCAAAGAAAAAAAGGAAAAAGGTTGCTGATGAACCAAATAAGAAGTTTGGGAAGGGTACAAGGATAGGGAGACAAATGAGATGTTCTTTATGTAAGACTTTTGGACATAACAAGAAAATGATGTCCAACTGTTGTAAGTATTAACATGAATATTCTTATGTGCTCATTATCAAATGAATTCTATTACTAATGTCTGTTTTTTATGTATATGCAAAGAACACAGGGTGGAAGGGCTGGAACTAGTTCGTAGGAGGTGAAACTGCTGAAAATGCATCATCAACAGATGAAAGGGTTGAAACTGCTTCAGTAGCAGGTGGAAGGGCTGGAACTAGTGAGAATACATCAGCAACACCTGAAAGTGCAGCAACAACTTCAATTGTGGAAAATGGCACCTTCACTCAACCAAACATTGATTCAAGCACAAAACAATCAACTAATTTGTTGGAGGTCCAAAAAAAAATCTAATGATCCTAGAAGAGGTGGTGCAAATGCAGGGTTTAAGAGACTAAAGGCAGCAGGATACAGTCTGCTATTTGGTTCAAGTGGCACTGTAATACATAGGATAAATATTTCCACTTAATCACTGATAGAGTGGCACACAATCCTTCTGCACTCATCAGTTCTACCCCTACCAACATTGAGCTTAGGTTCAAACCCCATGTACTAAAGTGTAAGGGTCAAGCTACAGTTACACAAAGGCAGCTGCAAGAACAAAGTTACAGAAGGGCAAACTCTGCTATAACCACTCCAGCCACACCAAAGACACAATTCACACTGCTATAACCACTCAAGCCACACCAAAGACACAATCCACACCAAGCAACTAAGCCACAACATGCATTAATTGAAGTGATCAACTGATATTTTGAAGACTTAATGATGGATGTTTTTGTTAACTGTCTATGGTAGACAATATTTTGTAAAGCTACTTCATTATGGATGTTTTTGTTAACTGCTTGTCTTCCTATAATGGACAATGATATTAGTAGTGGAAGTACTGTTGCAGTAATGGTGAATTATAATTTTTTGACTTGAATGTTCCGTTTGTCAATATATTTCATGAATTTTTTTTACATCAACACAAAATATGTAGTCTAAACCCAGGAAATGACAGAATAAGCTATCAATCCTAAACACATAATAGAAGAGCTAACATTAGAACAACTACAACCGCAATCAGCAACACTGAACTTTGACCTTTCTTGTCTTCTCTGACAATGACATCGATCACTCTTTTTAATAAGACTCGCAAGAAGAGTCTTGTAGTGTTCTTACTCAATCGAAGGATCAACCCATCGGAAAAAGCCACAACCTTCACCAATCTCATATCTTCGACAACCTAGGAACCTTCTTCCAGGACTGGTGGGTGTTCGTGACATTCTAAGATCTGTAGCAACTCCACAGTAATACAAAGGTTCCTTCTTCGTTGCTGAAGGAGAAGACACGAGAGTATCTATTATTTCTTGCCGGAAAATAAGAAAAAGATAGACCTTGAAAAGAAAAGGAGATGACAGAAATGGATGGGCAATGAATAATCCTAGGAAAGAAATTCAATTTTTGATTTTTGAAGTTAATACGAGAAAGAAGAAGACATCAGATTTGGATAGAAATGAGCTTCTATCATGTTCAACAATGGAGAATGAGGTAGAAAGAAGAAGATGGCTGTTAAAATAGGCCACAATATTACCATTAGGCTTTTTTCAACTACCCTCACGCCCCTTACATGCGTGTGAATCATGCACTAAAGCCAAATATGACACATAGGATCAACATCCTGTCATAAGCTATATTATTCCGATTCGAACAAGTGTAAGTGTTTACTTGGCAAATTGATAAGTTTGGGGATCGAAATGACAAAGTGACACACGTATAGGTGTCATTTAGGCTATTGTGCCATTAAAGATTGAAAATGAAGTAAAATAAGAGAGGAAAAATGTTCATAGTTTAACATTCGAGGGGGGAGTATAACGTTTTACATTAAGATGGAGGACTAATTTTGTAAACAAAAAACACAAGCAGACCCACAATATTGGCCCCTCCAAGGGAGAAGCAACCTTTGTACTCTGTTGGCTCGAAGTTGTCATCAAAGCTTCGACGAAACCCTAATTTATAGCACCCACCCTATAAACGAAGAGAATTCACATCCAATTTATGTAAAAGTTCTTCAATTGATTCCATTTATCCCTGATATTTGCAGTTATTTTTCCAGCCATGGACGCTCAGAGAGCTTTGTTGGATGAACTAATGGGCTCAGGTGTGCTATATTCAACTAGTTGTTCCTATTTTATGCTTAATATTTTTTTATTTGCTATAAAAATTATAGTTTTTGCTATGTTTATACAGACGAGTACCAATTTTGATATTTTGTCGTTTTTGATTTTGTAGCTCGGAATTTAACTGAAGACGAGAGGAGAGGGTTCAAGGAAGTTAAATGGGACGACAGAGAAGTTTGTGCATTCTATATGGTTCGATTTTGCCCCCACGATCTCTTCGTGAATACTAAGAGCGATTTAGGTCAGTTCCAAAATCTTACTCTCCTCGATTTGATTGATGAATGCTAGTAACTGTTTTTGGATTTTTGCCACAAGAATTGTTTCTTTTAATCATGAATATGATATCTGGGATAACTTTACTATCTGCGTTTTAGCTAGTGAATGGCGTCTTGAAACTACTCCTGATTGTTTTTGACTTGTTTTATATAGGAGCATGCACGAAAATTCACGACGCAAAGTTGAAGGAAAGGTAAGATTGAATCTTTCTTTGGTTCTCTGGGACTGACAATTTTTTTTTTGGGGCTGAAACTCTGAGATATATTTCACGCCTTCATGCAGAAAATAATGAAACTCTGAGATATATTTCACGCCTTCATGCAGAAAATAAGTTAGCTTTCCTTGGCACTTCCTTCAGCAACCAAATTTAAAAAAGAACTGATATACTGTTATCTGCCAACGCAACTTATGAGGTTTCTACCTATAGTATTTCTATGCCAAGCACATGATGAATAGTTATTCGTAATAATCTTAACATAATAATTTGGGTCAAACAAGTTCATCAAGACACTAGGAATGACAAAAAGGTTGCTCCTTCTACCCCAATCTATATGGTACTATTATTTTTTGAAGAGTCAAATGGTCTTGGTTGATGCTAGTGAAACCCTGCTAGAATTCATAGTCTCTTTTGTATAGACACACTGTGTTATTTTTATTTTTTTGGTTATTTTCTGGGATGTAACCACAGCACTCTCTTAGCGCTGTTTTTTTATATCTATAATACCTTACCATTTCAAAAATAAAAATAAAATGGTCTTGGTTAACTACATCCTCTTTTCAAACATTTCAAATATCTTTTATCATAAAGGTTTGTGATTTTGATTACTTCTTATGTAGTTTCCAACTTTCCATATTTCAAAGAGAATTAGAGTGATTTCTGAATTCACAAATAAAATAAAGATTGTTCTACTCTAGTACCCCAAAACTTGTCATTGTTTTTAGGACGAAAAGAGTAGCTCTCTTAAACCTATTATCTTAACATGATGGAGGAAGAAAGAGAAGTTGAAAGCTTGAACTTCAATTGGTGGGTACTCCTAGCACCCTCGAACTTTTTGAAGATGAATTGGTTTCCAAATGTGTGATCAAACTTCTTGTGAATATGATGGTATATACTTTCTTGATTCAAAATAAATATATTAGAAGTTATGCTGATACTTTCTTTATAAGGATTGCAAGTTGTCGAAGGTCGGAGCTTAACTTGAATTAACCTGCAAATTATGTAAAGCAAACAAGATTTCAATCTTGTGGTAATTAACATAAGCAAGATTCAACTTCTTGTATCCCCTAGTTTCAGCTAAGTTCTTTCCATGGTAAGATCATATTATCAAAAGTTTTGAATTAACATTTCAGCAACCACAGTCGTTCAGTTATGTTGGAGTTATGGTAGTTGCATGACAGTAGCCATACTTGAGCTGGAAAGGGTGAAAAGGAATCCTTTAAAATATTTTCTTTGATTAGTAACCGAGAGCAGCAGTTGGAATTCTGTACATGTGTTGAAAAGCTTCCCCATAAAGCTTAAACACTTCCATGCTCTTAAGTCAGTACACCTGAAAAGGTGTTTTAAAGCTGTAAAATCACGCAGAATGGTACCATGAAAAAGGTTAAAAAATGAATGTAAAACTGTGATAGGTTTATAGGAATTCTGTATGACTATTAATGAACAGCATCCTTTTGGTTCCAATGTCTTTATCTTTAAAAGGTAATTTTGTTTAGGTTCTAATGTAGTGTCAAGCTCAATGACTTCCATATTTGTTGCTCTGTATCGGCCAATCAGCGAATCCAATATTTTAGTTTATACTACAGCTTTTGTTCCAATGTCTTTTTCTTTAAAAGGTAATTTTGTTTAGGTTCTAATGTAGTGTCAAGCTCAAGGCCTTCCATATTTGTTGCTCTGTATCAAGGCCACTCAGCGAATCCAATATTTTAGTTTATACTACAGCTTTGGTATTGATACATGTGCATGTTGACTGCGGAATTGTAGTGAAGTATGACCTTGACTTTTTTCTTTGATAGAAGTCAAGTTGGTAGATTTTGATCGCTCTCCTTTATGAGGAAGTACCAGCCTATACCTACTATGGTTAGGTTGTACTTCATAACAATTTCATCTCTTAAATCATTTACTGGTGTATTAGTCATTTCTGTTCGAATGAAGACCTTCTAGTGCTGAAGCTTGACTGGTTTTACCTACCTCTCCAGAAGTCGCTTATCTCACAGTTTTGTGCATGCAAGAAGATTGTGAATTAAGCGTTCTCATTTATGCACTACTATTTCATTGTTCTGAAAGTTCTTGTTTTCTTCTTCAGTTTTGAGAACTCTCCAAGACATGATTCTTATGTTCCCAAGTTTGAAGCAGAACTAGCCCATTACTGTGAGAAGTTGGTAGGTTTTTGACTGATGAGTTTCGGAGTTCTTTTCAACTTATTCTCTGAATAATATCCGATATACTTAATTTGTTATCATAGGTGATGGACTTGGATAGGAAAGTTAAGCGTGGTCGGGAACGCCTTGCTCAGGAGGTTAAAACTCCCGCACCTCCTCCAATATCAGCAGAAAAATCTGAGCAATTATCTGTTTTGGAGGAGAAGATTAAAATCTTGCTAGAACAGGTGGAGTCTCTTGGTGAAGCTGGGAAAGTTGATGAAGCTGAAGCTCTCATGAGAAAGGTTTGGCTGATATTCCTCTGCTACTAATTCATTCTTGTTTTGAATTTTGCAATATCATGATGGTAGAGTTTCATGTCAGTATCCGAACTTCTTGACATTCATGTAGGTGGAAATGCTAAACGTTGAAAAGACAGCCTTGACTCAGCAATCCCAGCATAACAGTGCACTAATGATTGCACAAGAGAAAAAGATGGCTTTGTGTGAGACATGTGGTTCCTTTCTTGTAGCAAATGATGCTGCAGAGAGGACTCAGTCTCATGTCACTGGCAAGCAGCATGTTGGCTATGGGATGGTTCGAGATTTCTTGTCCGAGTACAAGGTACTTCTCACTAGATTTTCATTTTCTCTTTTCCTCACGAAACCACATAGTGCAACTTATATGTTTTCTGCCTTTTGTTGCAAAAGATATTCTATGTAATGGACTGTAATATTGCTTCCAGGATGCTAAAGAGAAGGCAAGGGAAGAGGAAAGATTAGCCAGGGAGAAAGAAGCAGAAGAAAGGAAAAAGCTGAGGGAGAAAGAATATGACAGCAGACGACGAAGAAGTGACTCATCTGACAGGGACAAGTATAAAGATCGAGACAATGACAGGGAAGGGGATCGCTACCGTGGAAGAGATCGTGATCGTGACAGGTCCATTGACAGAAATGGCAGAGGAAGCCGTGATTTCGAAAGGGCGTCAGGTTGGAAACATGGGAATTCCAGAAATGGGAGAAACAGAAGCAGGGAGAGATACCGGGAACGTGATAGAAGCAGGTCACACTCTCCTATTAGACATGGTTCCAAGAGGTCCAGGAGTCCAGTTCGCAAGTATTAGAAGATTATAAAACGTAGATGTCTGAACTTTGAAATTTGAAGAGGTAGACATTTTTATAACTCACCAATCTCATGAATGTATGCTTTTGAATCGTAAGTGCCATTGTCATCATGTGTGAA